ACCCCGCTGCGGACTCCCATGGATAATCCTATCATTGACTCAAATGAGTATTTTATTGTCGACGTATTATAGCAGATGAAATCTACGATTATATAATAGTATTATATTTTTTATAGAGTAAAATATATGTATATTAATTTAAGACTGAAAGTTGCTTATGGTACCTTAGTCGTTAGACTTAACGTGATACATATCCTCTAACCTCTTTACTTCTGTGTATTTATTTTTTTGGTAAACACATTGGGTGACAGATTTTGTTATTGCAAGCTCTGCCTTTGGTAAATTCTTGAGTAGCGGTCTATCAACTTCTTGTCTGTTCTCTTCTTTTAAATACATTACTATAGATTTTAATTTAAAAACCATTAGTATGTTTCAAATTAAGCGAATGCTTCAAACGGTTATGAAAACAACTGGGAAGTTGTTATTGCATAATTGCAATATTTAGTTTGATTGCTTGGGAAGTTTGCTTTTCAAAATGGCGGACTATTTCTGTCGATTTCGACTCGACAGCTGCACGGTCGGAGTTATTGTAACAACGTTGGCGCTTTTTGAAACTTGCGTAATTACGAAAACGTTGACTTTGTGAGAGGAAGTTGCATAATTGAAATGCATTTTGGCGGGAAATTATTTTAAGGTTAATAACTTTTTCATTGCTTTATTTTAGTTTAACGATTTGTTTTCAAATTAATATTATACTCGTTTATTAAACAAAAAAAATGTCAACTTTATTATTAGTTCTTTAACATAGAAAAATGTATTTTTAAATATGCCTACATTTGGTATTTGTGCATTTAACAAAAGAGGTCACAAACAGCCATCGTAACTCATCCATGACGATCGGGTGACCCTCGAACATTGCTTTCTCCTTGCCTTTGTGCTGCCTTTAAGTGGAACTAATCGACCATAGACATTTGCCATCCTCAATACCTTATTTACAGTGATAAGTGACATTCACGGTAAAAGTACTTGGGCGTTAATGAAAATCACGCAAACATAACTTACTTATTATATATTTGTGTGAAAGAGACCGGAGAGGTCTCTGTCTACCTCTGTGGGTTGTATTGTATTTTTTTTTACGAACTATCGTAAAAAAAATCAATCGTTAATAAAAAATGGGGTTTAATTCAATTTAAATTACAATTAAACAGGCAAAGGTTATATAACATTCTTTCTGTTCAAATAAAAAAATTAAAATGTCAAATGCGAAACACTTTGCGGTCTTAACTATATTACCGATGTGAAGTATGCAACGTATAGCTATGCATATAAATGCAGCGCATGCTCGCTAACTTCGTTATCCACCGCCGGGGAACATAATAGAATCATGAACGCATCCATATCTGAAAAGGTTGCCTCTATGAAGCTGGCATTTCGATGGAATATTGAATATTAATAAAAGGCATTTCTATGAAATATCGTGCACTATTTTCGATGTAGTTTAATCCAATTTCTGTTCATTGGAAATATAAGAAAAAAGAAACAAATTAGTAACATTAGGGCTA